ACAGCTGACAGTCAAATTGTGTTCATAATTTTCCATCACATAGCACACTGTTTTGTTGTCCAAAGAATCGTAGCATTGAGAACAATACGGTGCATCTTCGTAAGCTCGCTTGATTGTGCTATTTGCAAAATGAACTAAGCCTCTGCAATCATATTTACGAATTATAAGATTCGTCTAGTCAGTTATTGAATGTGGCAAGCGCTCTTTGCGAGGCCACGGGAAATCGGCGAGTCAATAGTATTTACCTCTTCTTGACCTTCTCGTAAGCCATCTTTATAACGCACAAGGACGGATGATCGCAATCCAATCCCGTCCATCCGAAGTGACACTCGCATCTGTAGTGGTCGCGATCGGTCGAAATGATACAGTCGCCATGTCCGCTGCAGTTGCGAGTACATACAGGGATGCACTCCGGTTTCGAGTGATGGTCGATGTTCGGTATGAAACCATTGTTACAAATGCACTCATTCGGGCTGACGCACTCGCCGTTCTCGCAGCCCCTTTCGCAAATCGCCTTGCAGACGTTTTCTTCAAATTTATTGTTCTGAAGCGCGTAGCCTTCGCGACACGTGCACTCATCCGGCGCCGTGCACATACCGTCTAAGCACCCTCGGTTGCAGATGGGTATGCAAGCACCGGCCGTGTCCTTCCTGTAACCGGCGTCGCAAACGCAAATGCCTGACTCGTGACACGTCCCGTTATCTCCGCACGAGAGAGCATTGCAAGGAGGTCCGTTGAGACGATAACAAAAGTGGTAGCTTTCAAAATCACTGTCTTCGAGCCACTTCGGATAGTAACCTGGATCGCAAGTGCATACGTTTGGCGCGGTGCACTTACCACCGTAGCACTCGAAATTGCAAACCGGTTGGCAGATATGTTTCTCGGACTAGTTGTTTGACAATCGAAAATCAAATGAGTTTAATTGAAAAAATTTCAATCAGTTGTGATTAAAAAAATCGTTTAAAAATAACACTCCTCTGAATCAAACGACTGCTTCGAATCGATAAAATACGATATAATTTGATTGTGCTGTTTGCCCGTCATGTATTACTTGGATAGGTACTGATACCAATAGGTTTATTCAACGATGAAAAAAGTTTGAATATATACTGGTCATTTCAAATCGCGAAACTCGGCAACGGGAACCCAAGCTCAATTTTTAAAACGAATTTTCAGGCTTTCGGAAAGTCTCAAGTAAAGTTGATAGAATTTGTTTTTAACTATGTGCGTGATTTCAAAGTTAAAGTTAAAGTTTAAAGACATTAATCCTGTCCAGTACCGTTTTTAAGAATTATTTAGGCAATAATCGTGACTTGTTAAACGTATATGTTCGTCGTAACTTAATTAAAATTTCTTTTTACTGATAACAATAATACAAATTTTATAAAAAATTACGATATTATTATGATTTAGAAAAGAAATCGCTTTTTATAAGATTAGAATCTTCTTCTCGCGTGATGAGTGGTTTTTAGATATTTTGTCAAGAGTTTTGGCTATATAATAACGTTTACATTTTATTGTACAGATATACTTGCCAATTCGGGAAACGGTGTTTTCGAAAAATTTTCATGCAGCTCTGTTATAATTAACTGTGCGTGTGAGCGATACCCTTCGAAGCAAGTGCATTCATTGGGCGACGTGCATTCTCCGTTGGGTCCACAAGGTATCGTGCAGATCGGCTTGCTTTGAGTCGAGTTAGATAAAACGACAGATGTATTGGATTTCCACACTGTTGGATTTCCATGTAAGCATTTTCCGGGCGCGATGCATATGCCATCACCGCATATATCATTATCGCAGATTGGCTCACATATATGTTTGGAGTTGTTACGGAGTCTGTAGCCTTCGTTACAGCCGCATGTGTACGGCGCTACGCACATGCCCATTTTGCATGACGGGAAGCATTGCGGTTCGCAGGCGATTGAGACGATCGTATCGTTCGCAGTGTGATACGTCTTTATGTAACCGGGTTTGCACTGGCAATACCCCGGTCTTACGCACGTCCCGAAAGCGCACGAATCGTCGCACTTAGGCCTGCAGGTGAATGAATCGTTCTCGTCCTTTTCGTAGCCGTCCGCGCACTTGCAGATGTTAGGGGCCACGCAAAGGCCATTGGTGCACTTATGATCGCAAACTGGCTCGCACATGAACTTAAAGACGTGGTAGAATCTCTTGCGTTGCCTGTAACCGGAAGGACACGTGCACACGTGCGGCTCGGTGCAGTATCCGTGAGTTTCCTCGCATTCCGCTGGGCAGACAGGTCGACAGGTGAATCCGTCCGAGTCCAACAAATATTTCTCGTTGCAATTGCAAACCCCATCGACACAAGTACCGTTGACGCAATTGTTTGTGCACTGCGACACGCACGAGCCGTTGCTTGACATGCGGTATCCTGTGTTGCAGGTGCACACGTCAGGCTCCTTGCAGGTACCATTTTGGCACGACTGCGGGCAACGCGGTACGCACATTGCACCGGATTTCACGTAGCCTTCGCAGCATGTCAACTCCGTGTGAAACTGTAATACTCGTAATTGCCAAATTAGCGGATTATAATTGTGGTCTAAGCAAACAAGTAAACAAGAGATTGACAAATCGTTTGCAAAACAAAAATAAAGACGAAAAGCTTGCTGATTTATACGAAAATTGTTCTCTCTCTTATTTCTTCTTTATTTCTTTATTGCGTATTTATCAGCTTGATTACCTCTTTTTTATAATATAATCGAGTCTTGTTTTGATAGGGTTCCCCAGGCATAGCATGTTCTGGTTTAGAGTAATATGTTTCGTTATAAGGAACTAATTGTGATACGTTTCGACTGTAATAAAATTAGCAAAATTAATATACGCATTAACATATGTAAACGCGTAATTTGCAAAGTATTTCGAAGAAATTATCTAAAAAATTTATACGTAAATAGAGTATAACAAATATAAAATATACCTGACCTTTCATTGCACCTTGAATAATTGAATATCTTTACAACTTTCTTTAGTTCGAGCTGAGACGATGGATGGTCGTGATCAAGTGAAATTGCGTTTACTTTTAAAAATAGTATCTTGATAGCCAAAAGAGCGATCAAACTATTAAACAACCCCATGATTTGTCACCTTTATTACGAAGTAATGTTCACTTCGTGATGTTTATAGACCGACTGTTAAAGTGCTTCCTTCCCATATATCATCGCCCGTTTATCTCTTGCTTTGCATGTGTATGACACACCAATACATACTATGTTATTCTTTTAAAGCAAGATATGCTGTATTATCAAGCCGGGGCGTCCTATGACGCGTAAAAGCTCGGCCTGGACAAATTACACCAAGTCATCCCGAGCCACGCGTCATAGGACCTCTGGCAGACCGGGATAGGTCACTAACGTACGAGACTCGCGGTTCGTGGCTCGTCGTTCCTTTTGAGAGTCGATAAACAGAGAATCTTCTTTAGGATATGAAATTTTTATTTCTTTTTATTGTAATTTAAACTTCGTTAAATGATCTGCTTCGACGATCTGACGACTTATATCGTTCTCATGATTGTGAAATTTTAATTGCTCTCTGACATTTTGGGTTAAATATTATCGGAGTCAAAGAACTTATCGAGCCACTAACCACCGATAGCGTTGATGCGTTCGATTCGTCGATTTGTCTAGGCTTGTCGAAAAATATATGCTCCGCGTCTAAGCAAATGCGATTCAAATTGATGGCAGAATAAGAATAGAACTCTCGATAATTAAAATAACAAAGTGGGGTAAAAATGAGCAATCAGAGAACAACGCGATTGTTGGTGTGTAAGTAGTCACAATATTTATAGTTACAATTAATTGTACATATTATTACGCAAAATGGTCGTTTCGATTTGAGCCATTTTCAGCGATATCAAATGATAAATGATAGTTAATTTTCAACGTTTATTAAATCAGCAATAAGTGATTCTTGATAGCGTGGTCAAAAAGTTATGTGGATAAAGAAAGTTGACGTTAAAATTCATTACTTAATAGTCTGTAATCAGGACAAATCTGACACATGAAAATTAAAAATTGAAAATACAAAAGAATTAAAAATAGAAAAAACTCACCAAGTAGTCTCAAGGACGTGAGATTAAAAATGAAGCCGTGAAGATAAAATCCATAAAAACCAAAAACGTGATTCAATTGTAGCCTCGTATGTTAACTTATGATGTGATCGAATGAAAAAACTTTGAAACTTTTAGAAGCATATGAGAAAGAAGAATTATTGTGGAACTTGAGGCATTCTTTACATAAAGATAGGAACGCTATATTAATTTTTCCAAGAATTATTTGATTCTTGGAAAAGAATGGAAACAATATTAAACATTCTTATTAAATGATAAAAAAAGAGGAGAGATGTATTATTGCTGCACCGACCATGATCTTTACTTGTTGGCTATCTATTTCAAACTGATGAGTTGCAGACTATTACAGCCTATATGAGTTTAAACTAGAGCTAACGCGTCCATGGGACCTTTTGCGACTTGTTATAGTTCGTTGCTTGCTAATTCGTGAGACGAATTTATTGACAGGCATATATATGTAAGCCACGTGTCGTGACGAACTACACGTCGTAAAACTCCGGTTTGAAAATTACTCAAAGCCTGTGTGTTCGTAGCGTAAAGTTTATTTTAAAGTCGATTACTCGTGTTGAGACAAATTTACCCAAAACATGATTAACAGAAACATTTATTTTTGAAATTACTATTTATTCGAAAACAGGTGCAATTATGTGTGCGAAAGAGTTAATACTTAAAATTTACTAATTTATTTTTTAAGATGTAGAAATGTAATAAATAAATTTGCTATGCAGACGGGTTTGTAAGTATAATGATCGTCGCTTTGTAAATTGCATTCGCAAGTTTCGGGTGCGACGTATGTGCCGTGTATACCAAGAATGAGTGGATACAGGAACACAGCGTGATACGTTAGGTGCTGCTGTTTCTTCTGTGCGGATCCGTAATTGCAGGTGCATTCGTTTGGACGTATGCATGTCAGCAACTAGGTTGACAAATCGGTTTACACACGTGATGCAGTTCAAAATACATTTCCCTTTCGGTTATGAACGCGTATCCGTCGCAACAATAATATTCTCTGCGATGTGATCTGCGAGACTAAGAATATAAACGCGAGATTTTACGTATTAGTAATATCGAAGTATTTATTTATATGCGCGAAAGAGTAAGTAGGAAGTTAAATAATATAAAAATTATATCTTGAAAGAATAATACCAATAAGAGATATTTGATAATAGGCGACTCGATTAGCAGAGCGATGGTAGTTTTTTTTACAAAAATTTGATCAACGTTTTAAAATATTAATATTAAACATTACGAGATAAGCTGCATTTTATTGCACATTTTATTAAAGGTAATATTACTGTAAAAGTTATCAGTTACGATTAATATTATTTTTACACTTTTAATTAAAATTTTATTCGTTTTGTTGGTTTTCGATTTTAATCGACATCTGTTGATAGCACAAGGCCAGAACTGGGGCAGTAATTACAGTCTGAAGGAGGTGACCGATATATTGTGGCCACACCTGCCGAAAATGTCTCGAGAATTTCATTATCATTGAACGGTTGTAAACAGCGTCAATTACGTCACGTCTCGTATTACACGGCTCGCTCATTATGAAAGTTATTCATAGATAATATTACCATTGATAATATTAGCGATTGATCGCAATGGAGTATATTGTAATAAATTAAATTTGCGTTCGCAATAGATATAACATTTATTTTGACAAA